AGGGCTTCCCGGGCTGCCCCTCTGCGGGCAGTGGCACGGGCCGGCCTGCCTTCCAGCCCCGCCTTTGGGCCCCGTCCCTCTTCTCCTGGAAGGGGAAATGGCTGCTCCCCTGGAGGCGAGAAGCGCTGCGCTTAGGTGGGACAGGTCTTGTCAGCCGGGCAGGGCAGCGGGGGGTGCTTTGCCAGGCTTGGAGCTGGTTACCCTGTGTAGGTCGTGCTCGGGAAGCCCAGCTGAGAATAACCCGGCCAAGAAAAGCCTAGATCTTTATTGTATGGATTCGAGTAGTAAAGTACACTGACGTTTATTTAATGACTTGTATTCATGTGCTCTGCGGGGAAAAAAAAAATAAAAAATGTCTTGGGAATAATCCAGTTCTTTAGCCTGTTACGGGTTTCCCTACGTGCTGTTGCCGGACCTGGCTGTCCTTGTAGAGAGGATGTTCTTAAATTAACAGGGCTTGAGCTTGTCCAGGGTGATAGTGCACCTTCTGTCCCTTAGGCTGCTTTATTTTCCGTTGCATGTGTCAGAGTTTCACCAGGTTATGTGGTGCATATGCTTATTGCTGGGGGTCTTTCTGTCACGCTTGCTGTAACAGTTGAGTTTCATGGTCCAGCAACATGAAGTTCACAGCTCTTTCTAAATAATGAAACTCCAAACAGTATTTTGAAAATTTTGAGTGATACTGGTTAGTTGGAGGTAAACTAAGAACACTGAGGTGCCCCATGCTCTTCTATATATAGTTCTGAGGCAATATGAATCCATAAGAAGTTTAATTTTTCGTTTTTGGGCTTCACTCTCAATTGTATTAAAACATTCCTCTATCAGAGATACAAGAATAGGATAGTCAGTAATTAATTTATTGTAGTTCAGGCTCAGTTTGATGGGTTCACTTCAATGAGAATTTGAGGCCTTTGTTTTGCAGACACTTCTGTCTAACTTACCTGGTGCTTATTATTAGAGTCATGGGATAACTGGGGTTGGAAGGGAACTCAGGAGGTCTCTAGGCCAACCTCCTGCTCAAAACAGGTAAGCTGTGAGATCAGGAGGGGTTGCTCAGAGCTTTATCCATTCAGGCCTTGAAAACTTCCAAAGATGAAAACCGTGTAGTGTCCATGGGCAACCTTTTCTGCTGCCTTACTGGACTTAGAGTGAAAATGTTTTTCCTTATATCCAGTCTGAAGCTTCTTTTTTCCCTCAGCTTTTGCCTGTTGTCTCTTGGCATCCTACCATGCACCACTAATAACAGCTTGGCTCCAACTTTAAGCTCTAGCCAACCCTAGATGTCTGTCTTCTGTCAGTTTAGTGTCTTGTTTGGAATGTTTTGTCATACAGAAATCTGAACTTGTAACTTTTGTTTGTTTTACTTGCATTAAAATATACAGCTCATCCCTTGAAGACTTGCTGTTTCTGATGCTTGTTCTTCTGCTGTTTTCTACTGAAAACTACTCCCAGCTCCTAAGAAGCTTTTCATATGTTTAAAAAAAAATTTTAAAAATTAAAATATATTTTGGGAAGTAGTTGACGATGCCCTGATTGTCAGTCAGTGTATTTTACTAGGTTTTTATTGAGAGTGTGAGAGGACTCAGGTGACTGGCTCCTTTCCTTAAAGTATTTAAAAAAAAAAAAAAAAAAGAGTGAAGAAACCTGTTTGATATAGTTAAACTGCACCAAAAGCTTTATGAAAATTAATTCTTTCTACTATTTTTAAAGCTTTTTGAGAGAAAATGAGCCAAAACTGAAGTTATGAGAGCTGTTTTCCTGAAAATTTGAAAAAATAGCACCTTCTCATGATACAGTGAAGTTAAATATAAAGCCTTTCATGAAAGTGACGGATGTAATGCTTATTTTTATTATGTATATCACTGCTGAAAGAGCTTTGTTTATGATTGGATCAGTGATCAGAAGTTCGTGTTGATTTGAAATAAATTTTAAGTCTCCACATTTTGTATCTTTTATTATTATTGTATTTCTATTTATTTGAATGCCTGTTGAAGTTACATTGACATTACTGAATAGGCCTTCACAGGACTTTAAATCAGGTTCTTAGATCTGTGGCTTAACTGTAAGGATTCTTGAAGCAAATTGAAAAATAAAAAGTTATGGCCTATTTTTCCTTGCACATGTTATGTTTTTTGTTTTCAGACTTCAGCCTACTTGAGTATTGGCTGTTTTTAGAAATATCAGTGATCAAGTTACCTTGGTCCTTGTTCTTTCCACCTCTATTCTCTGTTACCAAAAGCAAATTCTTTCCACTTTTCTGGACCTGGGAGGTGTAATGTTGCAAATCTCAATTTCAAACAGGAAAGCAGATGTGAATAAATTTTAAAGCATGTTTCCTTCTGATCAGAAAAAAAAAAAAAAAAAAAAAAAGTTTTTTAAATCGGATCATTTCCTTTTGCTCCAAAAGAGGTTAAACTACAGAAGGTATTAAAATGCTCACTATTATTTTCCTCATTCAGAGTTGCTCTGATACAGAATGTGAAGAGACATGTTAGTGTCCTGTTCCAATATTTGTGTAGATCAGTTACTTCACAAGAAATGGATGTTTACTTTTAGTATGTGCTCTCAGGGTATTCTTTGTTTGGGGGCTGATGTGATTGAGAGCAGCCCTGCAGAAAGGGACTCAGGGGTACTGGTGGACGAAAAGTTGGACAAAAGCAGACAATATGCACTTGCAGCCCAGAGGGCCAATCACATCCTGGGCTGCATCAAAGGAAGTGTAACCATCTGGTCCAGGGAGGTGATTAAGTGATTCTCCCCCTTTACTCCACTCTTGTGAGAGCCCACCTGGAGTACTGTGTCCAGTTCTGGAGCCTTCAACATAAGAGGGACATGGACCTGATGGAACAAGTCCAGAGGAGGGCCACAAAAATTATCAGAAGGCAGGAGCACCTCTCCTATGAAGACAGGCTGAGGGATCTGACATGGTTCAGCCTGGAGAGAAAGCTCTGGGGAGACCTTATAGCAGGCTTCCAGTACCTGAACGGGGACTACAGGAAAGCTGGGGAGGCTCTGTTTACAAGGATGTGTAGTGATAGGATGAGGGGCAATGGCCTTAAACTAGAGCAGGGTAGATTTATATTAGACATTAGGAAGAAGTTCTTTACAGAGAGAGTGGTGAAGCACTGGAACAGGTTGCCCAGAGATGTGGTGTAGACCCCATCCCTGGAAGGGTTCAAGGTTGGTCTTGACCAGGCTCTGAGCAACCTGACCTTGCTAAAAAGGTCCCTGCACACTGCAACAGGGGCTGGACTAGATTATCTTTAAAAGTCCCTTCCAGCCCCACACATTCTACGATTCTGTGATTCGATGTTGTGACTCCTTGACTTCTTAGCTTCTAGAACAGAACACTGTTCAATCCTAAGCCTCTTCTCTAAGCGTGATCGATTTAGGGGTGGTTAATCTACATTCCAAGTGGTTAATCTGTAAATATTTGTATTCTAATAACGAATGGACTGATCTTTCTCCTCTTTATTCTGAATTTGTTCCCTTTCTCACCCCCTTTTCTCTCTCTGTGTCTTTTTTTTTCTTTTTTTAATTAAAGGCAACACCGAGGAAGCTGGAAGGCTACTGGGCAGCAAGAATGTCCGTGTCAATTGCTTGGATGAGGTACAGTGAAACTGTACAAGCATTATGCTGGGTTTAGCAAGGAAAATACTAGGTCTGAAGGCCTTGTTGTTAAGCAACATTGCTCTACAGACTCCTGGAAATGAGAATTATTCTGAAGATGAATAATGAATTTTTGAAGAGGGTTTTTTTTAAAGCAAGTTTAAAGATGAATGTTACTTAAAGTACTACACTGCTTGTGTTTTCTCTCAAGTTCCAGCAGGAACTTTGGTGTCAGTAAGGTAAGATGAACACTGCAGCAAGACACATGGGGGTGCACCCTGGCTTTTTGTCATACCTGCCAAAACAAATTTCCTCTGCATGGACAGCAGCAGACAATGTGGATAAAGAATACCTGTCCCCATCTCACACTTACATCTCATCACTCAGAGCCTTACCTCTGCAGAACCATAAACATACTCAGTGGATGAGGAGCTAGATCAGAAGTGGAAAAAACCAGTCTTTTGCAGAGGCAGGTGTGATAGACATGTAGAAGACAAAATCCTTAAGTGCCACCTGAGGATGGGAGGAAGTTATTGGAGAAAGGAACCTTGTGATATTCATATCTAGTTCCTCCTCTTTTTATGTTTTTCTAAAGCATGCAACATGAATATGAAGTGTAACATGGAAGCAAAACTCTCATTGCCCAGCTTGTATGTTAGATCAATCTGAAGTCTAACAATTTAAATGTAAAATTGTTTTTTCTCCCAGCATCACAACTAGAAGGTCTCTATTTTAGCTTCCCACTCAAAGCAATTTCTGTTCTGAGGTCAGATGAGGTTCCTGTGAGCTTTATCCTATCTGACCTTGTAAACCTTCAAGGATGGAGACTGCGCAGTCTTTTTGGACAACTTGTTCCACTGCCTGACTGTGCTTACTGGAAATGTTTTTCTTTATGTCTGAACCTCCATTTCAACTTATGTGCATTGTCTCTTGCTCTCCTGCCACTATAACTGAAGACTTGGGCTCATTTTTATTGGTGATCTTCCTGTAGGTGCTGGCAGACTGTGGTTGGGTCCCATCAAAGCCATCTCTTCTCTAGTCTGAACAGTCCCAGTTGGTGCAGCTTCTCTTCACTGCCCAAGTGCTCAATCTCCCATTGTGTCTTGGTGGTACTCTGCTGAAGTCATGCAGTTTAACTGTGTCTTTGTTGTACTGCAATAGAGTTTGTGAAACATCCAGTAAACAGCTTCACTGTTATTCTGTGGCCATAACTGGAGATTACTTTAAATGTGTAGGGTCTTGTTTTCTTCCTCTGCTGCCTTACCATTATTATTTATATTACTATCTATTCTGTTAATGTTAAGAAATGAGGAAACGGCCCTGAAAGTCGAATGCTTAGATATTAAAAATGGAGCACAATTCAGTCGGGAAATAAGAGTTCATTTCCTTTCTTTAAGACCTTTTTACATGAGAGAATCTAGAGAATGAGCATGAAAATGTTTATCATAGAATTATTAAGGTTGAAAGGGACCACAAAGGTCATCAAGTTCCAACCCCCCAGCCATGAGCAGGGAGCCCTACCACTAGATCAGGTTGCAAAAATCCTTGTCCAACCTGGCCTTAAAAACCTCCAGGGATAGAGCATCAACAACCTCCCTGGGCAGCCCATGCCAGTTCCTCACCACCTTCCTAATATCTAACCTGAATCTCTTCTCTCTCACTTTAAAACCATTACCCCTTGTCCTATCACTGTCTTCTCTGATGAAAAGCCCCTCCCCAGCTTTCTTGTAGGCCCTTTTCAAATACTGAAAGGCCACTATAAGGTCTCCCCAGAGCCCTCTCTTCTCTAGGCTGAACAGCCCCAACTCTTAACCTGTCTTCATAGCAGAGCTGCTCCAGGCCTTTGATCATCTTGGTGGCCCTTCTCCGGATCCTTTCCAAAAGGTCTATATCTTTCTTGTGCTGAGGGCACCAGAACTGTACACAGTATTCCAGGTGGGGTCTCACCAGAGCAGAGTAGAGGGGCAGAATCACCTTCCTGGCCCTGCTGGGCACACTTACTTTGATGCAGCCCAGGATGCAGTTGCTCTCTGGGCTGCTAGTGCACACTGGTGGTTCATGTCGAGCTTCTCATCAACTACCACCCCCAAATCCTTCTCCTCAGGACTGCTTTTAGGCCATTCTTCCCCCGGCCTGTATTTGTGCCTGGGGTTATGCCAACCCAGGTGCAGGACCTTGCACTTGGCCTTGTTGAACTTCATGAGGTTGGCACTGGCCCACCTCTCCAGCCTGTCAAGGTCCCTCTGGATGGCCTCCCTTCCCTCTTGGGCATCAACCACAACACACAGCTTCATACTAACAGCAAACTTGCTGAGGATACACTCAATCCCACTGTCCATGTCTTCAACAAAGATGTTGAACAGCACTGGTCCCAGTACTGACCCCTGAGGGACACCACTCGTCACCTGCCTCCATTTAGACATTGAGCCACTGGCCACAGCTCTCTGGGTGCAGCCATGCAGTCAATCTCTTATCCACTGAATGGTCCATCTGTCAAATCCATGCCTTGTCAGTTTGGAGACCAGGATGGCATGTAATTTTCTCCTCTATTTGTGGTAAAGCAAATATGCAGTTACAATTTAATAATTTCCACAGACTAGAGAATCCACAGCATCCAGAAGCAGGCTGTTACATATTGCACTGCCTGGTTTAAAAAAATAAACACATAAGTTGTGCCTTTAATTTTTGGTTTGACATATTCTAACTGCTTAGATCTGCTTTATTCTAAATTAAAAACTACTGACAATTGGCAATCTTTGTGTACCTTTCGATAAGGACCAAGGTACATTTTAACATCTTTCAAATGCATCGACTTTTTAACTATTGTTGTTTCTTCAGTAATTGAGCTATAGTCATGGCTCTTTTCTGAAAACTTTACAGTTGCTTCAGCTGCTTCTTCAAAAGTCTAAGTATGAGCTGAACACAGTATTTCAGCATTCTGCTGTTTTACATGTATTTAAAAAACAAAAATCACTCCTCTAAGTCTATTTGCTCTTCCTGCTCATGTGCCAAGACTCACTCAGCATTTACCTCGTGGTATCTGCAGTGCTCTGCTGGGAGCATAGGTTACTTGAAATCAGAGTAAGGCCCCTTTAATTAAATTAATTTCACATCTTCAAGAAGTTTGGAGATATCCAGCAGATACAGTCCTTTTTATTTCTCAGCATCTTTCCTGACCAAATAACTTTTTGTTGTTGTTGTTTCCTTGTGGATTTAGATAAAGAAAGGAAAGGTATTTAGGCATGATCACTTTATTTATGAAAACGAAAAAATAGCTCTTCCACAAAACTTGTCTTTAACAGTTTGGCAGCTTTAAAACTTCAGAGGCATTTAAGCTCAGGTGTTCCAAAATATTAGGAGAAATAGATGGGAAGTGAAAATGTATGCAAAATAAAGACAAATATATTTCATGTAAATGGCCACTGTTTAGTATTTTTTGGTCCTATTTTAGTTGGAGTGGTTGCTAATGTGGAAATGTAGTATTGAGGAAAGTATTCAGGAATTTTCTTTGTCCTGGGAGTACGGAGGTTGTAAATAATGCTGTGACTTCTTGCTGGTAGTTTGCTGACTTGAGTTCCACCCATTTGCAGGATGTGGCCAAAATCTTTCAGACATTTGTCAAATGGCAGTCTAGAGGAAGCACATGGGTTTTCTAGCTGTCAAGTTTCCTTCAGTCTTGTTTGTTTTTAAGAAGTTTTAAAGTTGCCAAACTGTTAAAGGTTACTGGCTGATGCAGACTTTAACTTTTGATTAATGCAGATGCACAGAAAGATCATCAGACAACTATGTGTTAAGTCAGCAGGATGACTATAAAGGAGAACTATAGCTATGATGAACATATCTACACTCGCTGAGCAGTATTTCATATTCTAATTAGTTCATATTTGGCTTATTTGTGCATGTATTTGTTGACTGTAATCCAAATCCTGCTTGCAGTATGTTCAAGGTAAGTAAGACGAATCTTATTCAAATTATTTAAGGGCAAAATTTGTAAAGGCTTTCATCCACTGAAAATTCAATTACTGTATTTCTGGACTAGCAGCGTTCAGTATCATTCATGTTAAAAAAGGGTGGACTGATCAGGAGAGGTGTAAAGCACTGAATGTTGGAAGCACTTGGAACCCTATTTTCTCTTTAGTAAGGCAAGTCTATTGGCCTTCTTCAGTAGCGAATCATCAGCATGTTAGCCACAAAACAATGGCTTTTGAAAATACACGTTTATCATGTCTCTGTTCTTACGCAGTCAGCACGAGTGTTTAAGTGCTCAAAACATAGTCAGGTTTTCTGCCAAACATGCACAGGTCACTGAGATGTAAGATGGTCTGTTTGTTTTGTCCCTGCTCTTGTTTCCTGGCCACCCCCCTGTTTCTCAGTTCCTCTGGTCAACAAAGGCTGAGAAACAGTGTTGTTGAAAACTTCCTCTGTAGTTCCTAGAGGGCAAAAGGTTATTGAAATCAACGTTATTATGTTTATAATTTTTTTAATTATTCATCCTGTAGAAGCATGCATGTATTAGCTCCCAGGTACTGCAGAGAGAAATACTTACCAGCTTGTCTTCTTTACCCACTTCTGTTGGAGGAGTCTAACCCCTCCCTGGTTCTGGTAATCATCTGCCCCTCCTGCTTCCCCACATGTCCTTTTCTTTCGCTGTGAGCTGGTTCAGCCTTCTGACCCCATATTATTTTTCTTTCTTCAATTGACTCCTACGCCATGGCAGCATTAGGTCAGCTTAGTTCTTGAAATCCCATCCCTTGATCTGCTTCTGGCATATTTTCAACATCAGGAACTAGGAAAGGTGGTATGTAATGGAGCTGGGCTGGTCACACCTGGGCTGTTGTGCCATGGAGTCCCTGTCAGTTGATGAGCTCGTCAAGGAAGGTGCTAAACAATTTCTAGAGGCACTGCAAACTATTCCCACTGTGCAGTCAGATGTAGAGGGAGTACTTGTAGTTCTGTAGAAGGTGGGAGATGTTAAATTTTCCTCCCTGTAATACATGTAACATCCCTACAAAACAAACAAGAAACTGGGAAAATTCATTTTTGTCCTACAGAATGAATTTGAAAGAATGGATCTTTGGAGAGAGGAATGAGACATTGTAGCAGCTAGAAAACAGATTCTTCATTCTAGGTTTAATATTGGAAGAATAATTTGTGTTCTTCATATTCTTAAGAAACTGTCGGCTGGTGTGGTTTTTTAAGTGTGTTGTACTGACAATCCAAATGCCAGTCAGAAAACAGCCTGTTGCTGGACCTGTCTTTGATATTCAGCCTGAGAAGAGTATTTGCAGTAATTTCAGTTTCTGCATAGGGATGTAGTACAGGATACCAAGCTTTTCCAGATTTTTGTTTGCTGTGAATGTAAAAGGCTGACATCAGTGTGGCTTAAAATCCCATTTTCTAACAAATGCCCACGGTTTTTACTTGATGTGTTTCTTCAATCCGCACTGCAGCCTGACACTTTAAAAATTTAACTGTAAACTCTTAAAGTTTCTCAGGAGGAGGAGATGAAAAAAACCAAATGCCAGCTATAAACCCCTTTATTATATAATCATCAGACAGATTTTGAATTGAAACAACCAGCATTCAAGAGGTAGCCAAACTTGAAGTCATTGTTTTCCAGATGTTCCTTCTCCAGTCAAAAACCGTAATGTGCTCATATCACCCTTACAGCAGTACTTTTCTGCATGCTAAAGGAGGAGAATCTGTACTATGACTCCAAACTGGGATTGGCCCATAAAAATTGCTGTCTATGTAACATATTTTACATATTAGGGTAAAAAGACTTTACTTACCTATATAGGACCGCAAACAAAACTAATCACAAATTTGTTTAATGTTTGTGTACTTCTCAGGTCTTTTGTTTTTTTTGTAATGACAGTTTATATTGCAGTTTACCAGAAATACTTCAGCTAACTGAACTACAATGCATCAAATAATGTTTTTTTATTGTTTTCAGTTAGGATAAGAAATAAAGAAATAATACTTTTAAATTGTTATTGTAATTTTAAATTTTGTAATTTCTCTTAGTTTTAGGAAGGAAAATTACATTGATAGATTTAACTTTATTAGGTTTTATTCTGTCATGAATTGAAAAAAAAACCATGTTAAGGCTGAAGCTGACAATTGGATGACTTCAGAGTATCCCATTAGCATGCATTGCAGAGCTGCAGTCACTGTGTACATGAGTGTATTCATGCACAGAGCCTTAACATGCAAAAAATGGGAAGAAAATGCCGTTTTGATTTCCTTCAGGGACAAACCAAAGCACACTCCCTTGTATTCAGTGCTGGAGAATGTTCTTGGGCAATTATTAAGTCTTGGCTGGTAGCATGAATCCTGAGTGGATGTTAAGTGAGAATAAACAGCATGTTGGAAAAAGCATGTAAAATTCTAAAAATGGAACATCGTGCAATTTTCTCAAGCAAAAATGTGCTTCTCTCTGCCCTGTGAGAGCAGAAGAGCCTGCATTTGCAATTCACCCTGATTCTGAAAACTTCACCTAGTGTTTGCCAGCTTTGACTGGTGCAACTCTAATAAAAACTTGGTTCCTCCCTTGCTGAAACAAATCCTTTTTGCAGTGGTGCAATTTATCAAAAAGCTAGATGTAAAACTCTGTGGTTATTAAACTGTACCTAGAGCTGTGTGTCTTTACAAGGGCTTTCAGAACTCTGGCTGAGGTGAGATCAGACACTACCAAAAGGGTGGATAAATGTGAGAGAGGAGGATAGCACAATTACCAGTAATCATAACTAAAATTGACCTAGGTGGATTTCAGAAACTGCAGGTCTTTGTAAAGGCAAAACCAACAGCAGCCTATTCCTGATTTTCTTGTTGTTTAACATGTAACAAAGGAGAAAAGTAATAACTTAGCAACCTAAAACATTTTATAAAGCAAGTTTCTCCAGCTAGCAGAAGCATTAGTTCTCTTTAACCCTAGTATCTTACACAAAGGGCTAATGACCAATTGGTGTTAAATGATTTTTATTTATTCAAGTGGTCTGTTTTTTTTGTATATAGCACAGCATAACCAGAAATAAGACATGGAATGGAAAATGACTACACCTTAGTAACTATTTTTACATCAAGAATTTTGTAAGCTTTTCTGTTGTAACTAGGGTTTTGGTAGTTATACTGAATGTGTGTACTAGTGAAAATTACTAATAGGGTGGGGATCAAGAGGTACAATGAATTATTTTTGTATGCTTCTTCCTCTCGTCAGCATGGCATGACCCCCCTAATGCACGCGGCGTACAAAGGGAAAGTGGACATGTGCAGGTTGCTCTTGCGACACGGAGCTGATGTTAACTGCAATGAACATGAGCATGGATATACTGCCTTGATGTTTGCTGGGCTTTCAGGTAACTACTTACTCAACATAGATCACAGATTTTCATTACATTAATGGATTTGCCATAAATTAATAATTTAAAGAAAAATGTTGACCTGTTTTTATTGTTCAAGTTTAGCAAATTTAGATTTTATGTGAACCATTGTCAAAACAATCCAGTATTTTTAAATTTTTATTTTCTCCTACGTTATTTTTGCAATTATCTTCTGGCCTTAAAAAAATTAAAGTTCTAAAAACATGTCATTAATTTTCCCTCTACTTTTACATTATTTTTTTTTTAATGAAAGTCTGTGTAGCTCTATATATCTTCTCCTGTCTCAAGTGGTAGTTTGCAGTTTTCCTCTTGCTATTCTTTTTCCCTGGTGAAAGGAACAATTATTTCCTTGAGTGAGAAAAAGACACTACACCAAAAACATTGTTCTTTCTGGGGAAAAGATTAGATTTGGGAATACTAGGTTATTTTAAGTATCTGCTTTACTAGGCCACTTACATCTGCCCAAAAAGGAGATTCTAGACAAGTAAGATTTCTTAGCAGATAGAGTTTAATCTCAGCCTTCTTTCATCATAAGTATAAAAGAAGAAAGGTATCTGTGTGAATATGAACCTCAACTGGATAATCAGATGGCTTTTCTGCTAAAACTTTGCAATTGGAATTTTCCAATTTGGAAAATTTCAGCATTCTGTAGCATTGAGCAATGCCAGAGCTGCAGCAGATAGATGGGAACAACCTCTTAGAGGCTGTAAAACGACTGCAGCTTTATGGAAAATGCAGGACTTTGACAGTATTTTCGCAGCTGAGCTTTTAACTTGTTATGCTGGTTTTGAATGCTTCTGAATGTTGGCCTGAAGGTCTGTTATCCCTGAATGCAGAAGGTGTGTGAGCACTACTGACGCAATGTCTTTGTTTTTAAATCAGAAACATTCATTTCCATACACCACCCCCTTCTTTTTTTATATTCACTTTACTTAACACATGCACAAAAACTGATAAAGTAAGAATGCCACTGAAAGCAGAACCAGTGTGAGTGGTGACAAGTGTCCTTATTAGTCTCCAAAGGGCATCAATTAAGTAATCTAATCTTCCCATCAAATTTTATCTTCATTTTCCTTGATATTTAGCCCAGTCTGAACACCCAGTTCCCGCTGTGGAGAAAGGAACAATCTGTTCTCTTCTCTGTGCTCCTGCTACATAATAGTACTGGAGTTGTTTTTCTTCTTAGAATAGCAAATGTTGTAGTTGAACTGTCAAACTAGATTAGAAGAATTTGCTTCTATACTGCTATCCAGAAGGACCAAGCTCTTTTGTGGTTATATGCATATGACTCCTATAAGCTCTACAGGGAGCTGAATGGATGTTACAGAGAGCAGAATTACATCCTGTCTGAATTTAGTTTTTACTTTGATTTGATCCTCTGGAACCATAAATAAGGAGGCAGCACTGTGCCTTTCTCTTAATCCATTCTTAAAATAATGACATTAAAGACATTTATTTCCCTCAGTATTATTCCTGGTCTTTAGGAAATTCACTGCTTGGTTTACTACAACATAAAGAATTACAAGTTCTGGTCTGTTCTTTCTCATTCTCCATATTTCCCCCCCCAAATTCAGGAAACAAAGAAATCACCTGGATGATGTTAGAGGCTGGAGCAGAGACTGATGTTGTCAACTCTGTGGGAAGGACAGCAGCTCAGATGGCTGCTTTTGTAGGTAAGGTGAAAGTCTATTAAAATTTCCTAAATTCATAAAGAAGTAAAATGTTAGGTTCCCTTGTTTATTAGAGAAACATTATCTAATGACCAGTTCTGAACTGATGCAGTTCAGCTTTTTTTTTCAGATCTCATCCTGTAACAGAGTCAATTTGTATTCTATTTCCATGCTTTGTTCTGTAAAAGCACAAATTACCTTATCTGTAAGAACAGATGCTGCTGTTCTCCAAACATGCAGTTTTTGCAGTGTCATCACTCTCAAATAGTGAGAGGAAGCTGGTAACATCTGAAGGGCTTGAAGTTCAGGTATGTGCTTCTGCGGTACTAAGTGCATAGTTGGGGCTTATTTTGTGGGAAGGAGCTAACATAGCACTGGGTGTTGGGAGCTCTCCTCTGAGCTTTGCCACGAGCCTGCTGTGTGCTGGTGGCTGAGTAACCTCCTGCCCTTCTCCCTCTGCATTTGGGAGAGGGAGGAGTCTTGGAACCTCTTCTGAGCTAGTCAGTACTTACTGACCTGAACCTGACTAGAACAAAAGATCTATCATTCCCATGTGCTGTGTGATCCTGGGCAAAACATGGAACCAGGCTTTTTTATGTTGTTGTGTTCCCTTTGCTCATAGTTTTGTTGTGTTGTTTTTTTTTCAAAACACTTTTCTCTACCCATCTTGACAGTGCTGGATGGTTCCTGGATTAACATTGCCAAATATACCACTTTTTCTCCATTTAGTTCAAGAACATGTGATAAGATATTACCAGAAAAAGTGGAGTCATTTTAAGGACTCAGCTATTGCTGTCCAGATGACCTTCCTGACAACTATAAATGAGGACCTGTATCTTCCCTTCAACACAACCTTCTCGTGTTTAAATTTCTGCCAACTCTCTTGCAACTCCATTAGGTGCTCTGGATTCAAGAGCCTATCTTGCCATTTAGATTTACTTCCTTGAAAAGTCAGTTTCTTCAGTTTCAATTTCAATTGTATCTCATTCAGGTCTTTTAAAGCAGAAAAGATTGACATTGCTTACTTGAGGTTCAAGCAGCAAAACTTTTAACTATGTGCTTAATGTGTCAAAGGAGTCCACTCCTATTGATTCTGCTTTGGATTTGGAGAGTCTTTTCCAGTGTGATGCCAAATTGAGTTGTTAGTGAATGGGGAATGTTTTCTCCAGCATAACTTCTGAGAATTCTTGTTTAAAATCACTTCATGTCACTAAGATAGAATAAATATTTTCAGGCATCCTGAGATACGCTACTCTGTGTAAGTCTGAACATTGGAATCCATTCCTGTTCTTTTTTATTCTCTGTCCAATTCATCTGTCTATGTGTGGGAAGCTAGGACAGTTCTTCCCCTGTCATTTGTTTTACACTGTACTTTGTTAGCTTAGGACAGTCTCTTCTAAAACAGTGGAGTGTTTTAAATGCTGGAATTTGGTTGGCTGTGTCTTATTCTACTGATTAATAGGATTAGTGCCAAGATAAATCAATCAATTTAAAGAATGAAGTCCTGAACTAGAGAAGCTAAATTTTACCTTCCTTTTAGCCAAGCAATCCATCATATTGTCAGATGTGGAAAACAAGAAGGAGGTGTAACTTCTCTCATCCTCTTACTTTCATCACAGTCTTTTTTTTTTTTGTCTTTTTTTTTTTTGGTAAATTTTGAGCATGTTCTGTTCTTTTAAATTCTTCCACTTTAGGTTAATACAGTAATGTCTGTTCAGGTCTGAAATCTTAGAAGTGTCAACACAAATTGAGAGAACTTTTGAGAAATTTTAACACCAGTAGGACACTATTAATGCAGTATAACTCTGGTGAGGAATACCAGTTCTCTTAGTTTTGGCTTACTGGGGAAAGAAGACATGGGAATGGGACAGAGTTCTCAAAATGAAATTTCAAGATGTTAATCCCTTCTGGGAGTCAGTAAGTTACACTTACTGAATTTAAAAGAATGGCAAGAGTTGCCAGTTACCAGTGCAAAGCATATCATGCTGAGCTCCTGTGTGAGTAATTCTGACCTGTATTGCTTATACTAACATTTTGTTTTATGTCTTATTTTTAGGTTATTATTTAATTTCATTGGTGTGTTGTTTTTTTTCCTTGTGTGCCTATAGGTCAACATGACTGTGTGACTGTCATCAACAACTTCTTTCCACGTGAGAGGCTGGACTACTATACTAAACCACAAGGCTTAGATAAAGAACCAAAACTGCCCATAAAATTAGCTGGCCCTCTACATAAAATTATTACTACTACTAACATGCATCCTGTTAAGGTGGAGTAATATGTAAATTTTATGTGTTGGCATGGGAATTGTTTCTTTATGTCAGAAAGCATTTAGTTCTTCTGAGAGTCCAGTTGAGATCAAAAGCATTATCCAGTAATTCAGATGCTTCTGAAAATGAGAATCAGTCTCAACATTTAGACATGATTTAAAAATGAGGCTATTTCTGAGTTCACATACACCAGAACCTTGAACTAACACCTTTAAGTGGAGAGATGTTTTGCATCAGTAGCTTTCATGGTTTTGTCCTCTTTTTTCCCTGACCCCACTTGAAGTTGAAACAAAATAATGTCCTATCTTCACAAAATCTCATTGTTCTCTCAGTGCTTGTCTCAGCATGTATCTTCCTACCTTCAGCACTGCTTCACGATAGTAATATGCACTGCTGCTGCAGTTTCCAAAATATGGACAAGAGATAGTTGTTTTTACCTGCCAGTATATTTGCTGAAGATAATGTCTTTTGTTGTTTGCTCCTCCTGTGTAGTTCAGAGAAGTTATCATGCCTAAATTCAAAGACAAGTTCCTTGGGCTTGCTATTCAAAGTCAGGAATTTGTCAACAGTTGCCAACTAGGTATCTGCAGCACATGCAAACAGTAATGTGCCAGTGGCAGCTGATGTAGTGGGTAGAGTACACAGTTTCCTCTTAAAATGGTTAGTTCAGTTCCTGACTAGTTAGTCAACCTGAAGTACTCCAAGATTACATGAGGTTCATGTGTTGTTCTGTGAAGCTGCTTAGATCATACAGCTTCAGTTTATTTTAGGTGTTCAAAAGGAAAGAGATTTTATGACGATGTGTGGTAGTTTGTGTAAGTTTCTTTTGAAATAGTTTTGATTCTTCAGGTTCTTATTCTGAAAAAATCCTGATCCTGATTATTTTTAATACCAGTCTTAATTTTAAATGTTTCTTGTATGAGAACTGTGAATTACAGTATACTAAATAATGACTGAAAAAAGAACAGGAAGACAGCATAAGACGGAAGTGGAGGAATATTAGAAACTCCACTGAAATTTAGCCACAGTGAGCTATAACCTGTAATGCTGATGCTCAAGTTTAAAAATACTGGTTCCTAATTGCATTACTTTTTCTTCAATCTGTTTCGTAGATTGTATTACTGGTAAAAGAGAACCCTCTATTGGCCGAAGTAGAAGCACTGCAGAAATGTTACAGGGTTCTGGATCTAATTTGTGAGAAATGTATGAAGCAGAAAGATATGAATGAAGTACTTGCTATGAAAATGCACTACATCAGTTGCATCTTCCAGAAATGTATTACATTCTTAAAAGAGCGAGAGGATAAACTAGATGGGTTTATCAAAAGGTACGTATTTCTAGAGAGGTTTGACAGCATATGTATGAACCAGCTTTACAGATACCAGAAAAAGCCAACTGTAATAATTGATTGGATTGTCTTGGATAAAGTTTATGCCAAGTAAATTTTCAAATAATCCCAGCTGCAGTCACTGCAGGGTGACACTGGCTCCCTTTCTTCTGTCTGAAGTGGCATTGCCCTTTCCTGGGGTACAAGGGAAACATTCCTAGAGTTTCTGCTCCCTGCTGGATCTGGTTAGAGCTTGACAATCACACATACACTATGAAGCAGCGGACAGCAGCATGTGGTGGAGAAAAAACAAAAGTGATAGGCTTGAAAAAAGAATCTCTCTATGTCCCATAGATATAATCTGGGAACTTTTTCTCTTGCCATTTTGCTCTCCAGCAGTCATACAGGGTGAAATTTTTTTTCAAAAACACATAAGCAGCTGAGAACTGCAACTCCTGCTTGCTCTGGATGAGACTTGCACTGTTAAATCACTTACATGCATCTCCAGAATCCACCCAGAGTAACTAAACAAGCTGCCTTATCTTAAAGTATTAAAGTAAGTGGCCTGACATTTGGAAGGATAACTTTCCCCATAGACCTCTGTGGACTTCTACGTGATACAGAAATTATGATGTCAGCTTTCACATACTTAGATCAGCAATCCATATAAAAAAGCAGGAGCCAACCAGATAAAATGCAAAGGCATCAGGATTATAACATTATTAAACATGAGTGAAGCAGAATTAGTATTGTAAACTATTGTGCATTCTTCATTTTTTACAATGCTCATTTTTAAACACAACAAAGCATTTTACTACTTCAGTCTGATATTGATATGAGTCGACCTGTAGGTTATTATTTTTCAATGTGTGGTTGAACTAGTAAGTACTGGTTTCAGAGTACACATTTAGTTCTTTTCAATTTCATTAAGATTGTGCATTAGAATAAAAATAATTTGCATTTTAAACACTTGTAAATTTGAAGTTGCCAACTTATTTTAAATTATAATACCTCTTTATAATTTGAAAGAGGACAGAGTACAGCATGCTGTATATTTGTTCTTGAACATTTACTATGTGACTTCTTATTTTACTTTATTTTTTAAAAATTCAGTCTCTTGAAAGGGAGAGAGAAAGATGGTTTCCCTGTGTATCAAGAGAAGCTAATTCGAGAAAGTATCCGAAAGTTTCCTTACTGTGAAGCTACTTTGCTCCAGCAGCTCGTGAGAAGTATTGCTCCTGTTGAAATAGTAAGTTATTCCTGTCAAAAAAAAATACTTTCTAAGCAACTTGCGTAGTAAATGTAGTTGAAACTAAGCCATCTTTCTTTTTCTCAGCTCCTGCAATGTGTTATATTAAGCAAAGTTTTTTGATGTCCTGAACTCTCTGGCAAACTGAATTTTTTAAATTAATTTTGCAGGAAAATGCTCTAAAATACTTCAGTTAGTAGATTTTTTGTGTGTCCATTATAAATGCTTAAATACTTAAGCTTTTAA